AGTGGGGCAGCAGAGTAACGAATCGACGCGGGGTGGCTCTCCTGGACAGCCTTGACAGTTTGGATGCCTGCCACTGCAATACGGGGACCAGATGGCCAAGAAGGCCAACAGCAGCTAGTCCTCCTTGCGGAGGGCGATAAGGCACCTACTGATCCGGCAGCCTTTCGGCCAATATGCTTACTGGATGCAGCAGGCAAAGTGTTGGAGAGGATCATCTGCAATCGTATTGAATCATTTACAGAAGGCCTCAGGGATTGTCTGATAATCAGAACGGCTTCAGAACAGCGAGATCCACGGTAGATACAATTAAGGTAGTCATCGGCATCGCACGCAAGGCCATTGAAGGCAAACGATGGAAAGGAGGCCCTATGAAGTATTGTGCTATAGTGACCCTAGACGTGAAAAACGCCTTTAACACTGTAAGGTGGAGCTCCATTCTCTCTTCGTTACAAATTCTTGGAGTTCCAAGGTACATTTCGAATTGGTCAAGAGTTACTTTAACGAGAGGATCCTCCTACATCCTACAAACTGACACCGGAGTAAAATCTTATACGGTCACAGGCGGTGTCCCACAAGACTCGGTACTTGGTCCGATGATGTGGAACATTATGTTTGACACCGTGGTGAAGCCCTAGTAACCGGTAGGCGCAAGAACTATTGGATTCGCTGACGATGTTGCAATTGTAGTAGTCGGCAAATACACCGAAGAAGTCAAGCAGGTTGCCAACGAGGATGTTGCGGAGATCCGGCGGTGGCTTACGTCGGTAGGACTACAGATGGCCGAGCATAAAACAGAGGCTGTGCTCTTTCCACCAAAAAGGGCCTGCCATGTGCACTTAAACGTCCTTCTCACTATCGAACAACAAAATTTAATTAAAAACGATGGAGCCATTTTTTGAAAACGTCTCAGGGACTTCATGTAAAGTACCCCCAAAACGAAAATATCCGTTTCAAATTCAAGGGCCCGCCACTTCAGCCAGACTGATCGGGAAATATCAGTTTCAGAGAAAATCGGCTGAACGATTTAGCCGCTAGCGATATTCACAGATGTTTTGCCGTCAATCGATTTTTAGGTATCGAGGGCCAACAAAACATGGATTAAGACTCCCCCACGTGTCCCCTCCCCCTAAACTTAGCGATTGGATTTCAGCACTTTTCGCCACCGGGGCCCCGTGTTAAAAAAAGTTTTCGTGCGCGAGCGGTGGTGAGAAAGAAGAAAAGCACCCACCTCCATGGCGTCCTCGTCGGTGACGTCGTCGCCGGCGTAGATGATGCGGATGCGCTCGCTCCAGTCGACGCCGAACGCCGTGCGCAGGATGTAGATGGAGGCGCGGCCCTTGTTCCACTGCACGGGCGGCTTCGCCTCGAGGGCGCAGTGCGCCGCGCCGGCCTTGAAGCCCGCCGCCACGATCATCTGCTGCGCCTTGCTCACCAGCGCCTCGCGCTTCTGCACGGGCGTCTCGCGGTAGTGGAACGTCAGCAGCGCCCCCTTGTTCTCCACCCACGCGCCGTCCTTGCACACCTGCGCACACACACACACGCTCATGCCGCACACTCGCTTGAGATAACGTAGCGCTACATGGGGTGGTTGATGTTTCCTGGCAAGTCAACACGCGTCATCGTTAGTCCCGTAACTGCAGTAAATGTGGCGATGCACCTCCCCCCGCTGGGCGGCGAGATACGGAGGCGACATCCCCATCCAGGTGTATCTTCCCAGCGCGACATCGCCCCAGCCGTTATAAACTCTTAAGGTCCTGACAAAAGTGTTAGTGTAGTCCATGTAAATGTTTTATTGTGAAAGGGGAAGACGAGCCTGATCTGTAGCCTGAGAACTGTTCCGTCATTCAGCAGGTATTGATCGCAAAACCACGGAAAGCTACCAATCAGAGCAGCCGGCTGCTAGAATTCTCCTCCATCCAGCAGCTGAATTCGACCTATCTACATAGTGACGAAAATCTGCCGAACCCTTACTCGGAACACTAGGAACTCCCGAGCCTGGTGTTACGTAATTCAAGTAGAAGCATAGGCCTAAAACAAAGGGGAGCCAACCATGTACATTTCTGTGCCCACTTTCCTTTTAAATTCCATATTTATGTCATATTTTACTAATAAATAAATAAAACATACTACAAGGAGAATGAAATAACTAAAATTATTCTATTCATTTAGAACTGAACCATTTACAGTGTGCCGCGATGCCTTGCAGAGCCTCGTCTTCAAATGTCTCACAATATTTCTTTAAAACTGTCAAGTTTACGGAAAAGGGAAAAATCAGAGATTCAGCATATTTATGGAAATAGAATTCTTTGTTATGTAATGCTATAGGGTTCCTTTCAAAATTTGCAAGAGGGATGCATGGTCCTGTCTCCCCTGTGAGCACATTTATGAGTAGTAGAGTTTTGTCAGATAAACCTCCAACAAATTAGCGGCGCTACAACACTATTTGACTTACAACACATATTTTCTCCAATAATTGGTAATTGTTACCAAATATTATAATATTGCACCTTGTAACCTATTTCGTACATTTTGGAAAACTTGTAAGACAATTTAAATCTAATGTAGAGGAACGGTTTGCAATAAGCAGGACATCTCTAGCTTCAATACTAGAAAAGTAGGAAATGTTAAAAAAAAAAAAGAGAAGAAGAAGCTATTTTTGAAGTTCCAGATACTTCTATTACAATAGGAAATATGCCATGTTAGGTAAACTTTATTACATTCAACAAAAATTTGAGTAATTGTAGAGAAAATTTTGAAAATGTCCAAGTGCCTTAGTACAAAGTAGCCTCAAATTTTAAAAATTATATTGAAATCTGAGGGCGCCACATGTGTCAGATCGATCATTGAGTGATTTTAGTGAAAATCCTGAGTATGGTTTAGGCTCTAGAGTTGTTCAAAGACTATTGGTCGGACAGTTTTTTGGTATCAGATATTCCGAAAACTGTTGTTTCTGTCGAAATATTGGCATTCATTCTTTGCAAAATTACATAACTTTCTCTGAAATATGTATAAAGTAAAATCATAGGTGGATGAAGTTTGTGTCTATGCTGTAAATTTTCGTTAAAATGTCTGTGATGAAATCATGTCATTGGGTGTTAATATGATTTAATTGTCACATTGATACTAAAACTACCCAAATTGTATTCTTCCTTTCACAGTTAAATGGTTAAAGCAGTGAATGGTACAACTTTAAAGGTATTTTAAATACCTCAAGCAATATTTAATTTTTAATCTTCATTTGAAAAAAAAAAAGGATAAAATTTGCAATTTTAAGTGTCAGGTGCACATAAAAACTAACTCGCAAAGCGCGTTGCACTTTACACATTTACTGTGCATAACTCTAAAGCGGTGAGACTTAAGTGCTTTAAAATTTTCCCTTAGAATGTTTTATGGGTTTGGAGGAATGTATTCTTGGTATTTTGCACCATGAAATTTGCAACACAAAGATGGAAATTTGTGGGAATTTTAAAAATCATTTTAAATGTTTCATCAAGTAAATAATTTGAACTTCTACACACATTTTAAAAGGCTTGTAAACTACAAAAATTGTTCAATTTGATAATGTAAGAATCTAAATTTATCAATGAGAAGACTTATTAACATGATATTAAGAACAATGTACACAAAAATAGGCCCACCCTCTGCATTTTCTCTTGAATCATAACTACCAATGTCATAAAAAAAATCAATAAATGATTCTTAATAAACCCCAACCTACAGGATGGCTGGTAGAAGTTTATTCCCCCATGTATCTCCTCCAGTGGGGCAGAGCCTCAGATGGGACTTGCCCCTTGCAGGGGGAGGGGAACTGCCCTCTCAAATTTTCCATTTTCTATCCTCTTAAAATAAAAAAAATTGATAAAGTATTTTATATCAACTCTTCTAAAACTAATTTCAAGGCAACATTTATCTTGCTCTACTATTCACCTTTTGCAGTATAGAGCAATCAACATCTCACTTAGGGTGATTAAAATCAATGGCAGAAGAACAACTCAAACGATTATACTTATTGAGAAATACCCTGAATACTAAAAAAGAGCAAGAATGTAATAATGAAATCTTTAAGTCTGTATTTTCAGAAAATCTGCAGAACCTTATGATTAAATATTTGTTTCTTCCATTCCATCTGAAAAAAGTTTTGTGTGTAAAAAATATTATATTATGCCACTTGTACTACATTCATAATAATTCTTATTTCTCTCCCCCCTCCCGATGAAAATCTTGGCTATGCCTACAATCTGATTGACAAATATAAGTATTAAATATTTTACAAAACTATTCCCAATTAGTTTCACCAAAACAAAAGGACTCCAAGTTTGGTATGATAGTAGAACACAATACACAAATGAAACATCTGCCTACATATCTCCAGTGATATCCCTGTACAAAACAAATATATAACCCAATACAAACAAACATGTCTAATTATTACACAAGGTTAATCACAGAAAAAAGTTAATGCATCTGCTTCATTATCATCCGAAATCCTGAACTTTGAAATATGGCCTACTTAGACACAAGTAGAACGAGATAACAGCTTCAAAGAGGATTTTACACCATATAGGCACAAAAACTACAATGAGTATCAGGAAATGTAGGTCACAGCTCCCATCTACATTTGGCAATTTCTACATTATCTAGATTTGTCCAATTCTACTAGAAGCAATTCCACACTATTCAGTCACCACCAATTCAATTTACCACAGAATAAGTGAAACACCAGCGAGTTTTTGCTGCATCATTTTAACACAGAAAGTGTGGAGTTATCTCCTATTACCTTTCTGTGAATGAAAGGGACAACTGATCCTTCTGTGTTCTTTATTTCTAACATTTTTAAACCTTTTGTCATATGATTATTTTCAACAGTGTGATAAAAAACAGTTAGAAAAACCCTTAGGCATTAAATCATTTAATGCAAAATAAGTTGGGAAATGTGAAAACGGGAGTTCTACATAAATGCATTCATTTCCTGTAGTGAGTTAAACAAAAAGGATTTGAGAAAATTAAAAAAGTTTGAAAAGCCCTTCTTGCTTTATTCTTTTAAAGTTACATATTATTAATATTATTCCTTACCAAACTGTTTAAAAAGGAAACAATTTGATGGGAATAATACAATCATGGCCACCCAATTCCCATTTACATAACATTTTTAATGGCACTAAATTAAATTTTAATTTAATATTTGCAAATATCAATATTACTAATGAATTAAATGTAAAATCTAAGTTTAAGAATGCACCAAGTTTTTTCCTCTCATTAGCTACACTGAAGATATTTAGGTTTTCTGGCCAATTTTTTTTATTCAACAAGGTGTAATTGTTGAACTTAATTCCCTAACATTTTCTCAAGACTTGAGAAAGTGATATTCCTCCAGAATCTTTATTTAGAATACAATTTCCTACATGATGTTTATTAGTTTCTTTAAGACATTTTGAACCATAATTCACTCATCTTGAATTTGAAAATGGAAACATTAAAGACATTTAAGAGTATTTTGTCTGAGAACACACAGAATGAATATATAACAATGTGGGTTTATTTTTGAATGCTTTTTTATTAAACATAATAGCACACAGTGCTAAGAAGTTTATGAACTGTCAATAAGGGTTGCCAACCATTCCAATTTTGCAGGAATCATCCCTACCTATGTTCCATGAGGACTATGGTAGAAAGCCGTATTGTGTCTACTTCAGTTTGTATTACAAGTGTGTATTTTATTATGAAGCGTGAAGTCTGTGTAGAAATTAATATACAATTTTAATATTTTCTAAAGTGATCAACATAAAATTTCAAAACTTGGTTTCATTGATTTGCAATACAATGGAAACAATCTGTATCTGAATCCATCTCTCAAAATATAAGATAATTAAAGAAAAATTTACTCACTTGGTCTTGCAGAGCTTTTAGTAATTCAGTAACTTTGTCTTCAAATTCCACAGGCATGGGATGTACAAACTTGCTTCCATCAGGATGAAGGATTTCCAAACCATGACTACCAGCATACGTAATACCTTCAATCCCAACCTAAAATTGTTAATGCAATTCAATGAACCAAAGGGTACAGCAGCAGGTACTACACCAAAAAAATTGGATTCTTCTCAGCTAAGGGTGTATGCAACAAAATATTGTAGAAAGAAAATAAAAGGTGGCCTATATTCTTCGTTGTGAGTTTGCAATTTCCATAGGTATATGAATTCTGAGTTTTATAATTTTAGTTTTATTTTAGAATTGTGACATTTAAAACAAAAATATGAAATTGTTTATTTATTAATATACAAATTTGTTACATGTAATGTATAAATTTTTTTAAATAAGGATGAAAACTTTTACAATATTTACAAAAAATATTTTTAACATGTACTACAAGGTAAACTTGACTTCTTTTTCAAAATTGGATTATCTAATACAAAATATTGCTTTACAGTATATATGACAAAAATATATTGCAGCATATTACACTGAAACAAAATTCTGTTTAGAATTGTATGAAGAAGAAAAGATTTTCATAATGTGACTATTTTTTAGTGTGTAAATAAGAGCAAGATGTGAAATAATCCAATATTCACTCACCATGGATTTCACATTGTTGACATTTCGTCCAGATATGATAGCAATATACACATCTGGCATATTGGACAATCTCTCAAGAACATTCTTGGTTTCTTCAGGCATGATAGCCAGATCAGGATGTGGGGCAATAGGTGCCAGGGTGCCATCATAATCCAACAGTAGAGCTAATTTATGTGTGTGCCCAATGTATCTGGAAAGAGAACACTCAATAAGCTCAAATACAAAAAACTCATTATATATAGCTAAGTGTGATACACAAACTGTCAAGAAAACAGTAGTTTACATTTAGAATTGATTTTCCCAAAGTAGATTCGCAGACACGCTGTGTGTGTTTATATGAGTTTCTGATATAGTCACTGTCTTAGAAAGTATATAATATTCAACCCAAATATATTGCTTTACATTGAGTTATTGTGATATTTTTGACCTGTGTCAAATGAATTTTTGCCGAAGTTCTAATAGTAATAACTAATACACATGTAAGATGCACAATTGAATTATCTTTCTCTATGAAGATAATGAAAATGATGACAGATATTATTCATACTAACATTTACCAGTGCAATACAATTTAAGATAATACAAAAAGGTAGAACAGTGCATCATCAAACACTTGAAAAGCACACACAGTTAAGCCAAGAACATATTTAATAAGAAAAGCTTTTTTAAGTCTTACTCCTCCTATAGTTTTGCACCTATTAAGAGTTTTTTTAAGTGTAAGTGTTAACAATCACAGAAAATCAATTATAGGTATGTAATACTCACTTAAACCAAGTTTGGTCAATACATGTCCCACCATGTACAACTGTGGCCTGTCATACAATTTTATATTACAGATATTGTAACTTTTATTTCTTATTGTATGTATACAAAAAATATTAAATAAATGAAAATTCATGAGTGCTTTCATTAACCGGATTGCACAAAACAAAGAAAGCAATTTTGTATTCCCATATTTAATGTCACTGTATTTTCTCTTCAGCCCTGACTCCTATAGCTAAGAATTTCTCGGGATATGGTGATGAAATAAAGAAAATTATAACAGTATTTCATAACTGTTTCACAGAATTACTGACAAAATACAATACATGGTTTAAAATATTTTCATGCCCATTTGATGTTGATGTGAACACTCTTCCTAAAAACTGAGTTACTCTCCAACAATGAAGTGAAACATACAGTTGCAGCAACATCAACAATAAATTTTGTAATACTTATTTCACATGAACAAAATATTCCAAATTACAATATTTTGCATAAGTTGCAATTTTGGCTCTACATATATTTGTGAAACATTGTTCATGAAGATGAAATTGACAGAATTCATGCTTCATTAAAAGATAACAATTTCGAAAACAAATTAAAATGTGCAAATAAAGATTTCTAAAAATTCAAGCGAAAGAAAGAAGAGTCAAATATCTCATTAATGAAGACCTGACAGTTAATTATATTGAATGACAGTATATCAATAACTTTGTATTCATTTTGTATTTTTATTCCATTTTAAAATCATGTTTACCCAAAGTGCAGTCCTGATGCAATGTTATATGTCATCAAAGTGTCTCCTGAAACCATTTGGGTAAGCCAGGTCTGTTTTAAAGATTTCATTCAATTTTATTTCAGTGCAGATTTAGACAAGAGAGAGTGCTATGTTGAAGGTACTCACTTAGCAAGGTACTCATCGAAGTCATCCATTGTGACAGGTTGCATCGTAGTGGGCCTGACTTCGTCTCCATCTTCCTCAATGAGAGAACCCATCGCTTTGAGGAAAGACCTCATCCAGTAGTTCACATCATGAAGCTTCTCTCGCCTTCTCAGGTAGTTCATTCGCAAGGTCCTTTCATCTTCTGGCATTGTAAGAGCCCTGTAAAAGAATATTTAAAATTAGCAACATTTTTCTGAAAGAACAATCACTTCCAGCCTAAAGTACAACATTCTGCAGAATAAGATCAATCAGCATGTACACTACATATTATGCAGCTCAAAAACCGAGAACATTACTACATAAATTACATTGTGTAAACTCACCAAAATGTGGGTATATGAGCGGAATATTTCTTAAAACATCATAGGCCATTCCTTCAGTTTTAAAATGCAAAAGCAGCATGCAAAGAACATTAGAAGTCATATTAGAAGGCAGAAAAAATTAGTTAAAAATAGAAATATTTTGCTCCTCATATGTCTTTACTAATTATATTTTAGGTTACAATTAGGTTGTAATGAGCTAAAGTAATGAAGCAACTTGCACTATGAACAATGCATAAAAATTTAACATGAATTTAAAGCAAGCACTTGCACATACTGCTCGCAAAGCACAAAGCTAGCCTGCACTCACATTCTTGAGCCTCATTTCAATCCTACACACTCATATCAAACATACTCCTATGCAAAAGTTTCATTCACATGCATTTCACAAAGCAAAAATATCTATAATTATTTTAAAATCCTAAGATTCAAATTTACAAAATTAATTGGAAATTCATAAATCAATTATTTAAATAATCTGAGAAAAAAAATCAGTCTAAAACATTATTATAAAATTACAGTAAAACAAGTCTAAGAGGGACCTCTAGGAAGGAAACCTTCCTTGTAAGACAAATATCAAAAAACAGAAAAATTGAAAAATAACTAATTTGATTTCAAATAAGTATTTAAGAACTGTAAGTGATTATATCCTGACAAGAAGAAAATTTATATTTAAATGCTTGCATTTGGTATGGTTTATTTTATTTACAAATATTCAGTGGGTTATCCAAATTAAAAGACTATCTGTACAAGCATATACATTTATCCTGAGGTGTTCAAATAATCCATAATATTCACACAAAGAGAAGAAACTGAGTTAACAAACAAATCAGTAGAGTAAGAGGTGCTGGTATAATCATTTGCGAGTTCCAAAATATTAAACAGCTTCACCCTATGACAAAGTCTGTCACTAGTAACAGGAGTATAAAAAATATGGAAGAGCAAGTACTCAAACGTGGAATAGAAAATGGAATTTGAGATCAGATGTATTTTATTATTTCTACTGGATCTTGTAGTCTCTTCAAAGTTCCATTGTAACTAGTATCCAAACTTTTGCCTTAGTCCCGAGTGTGTACATTCGCACTTCTCTGTTTCAAATGTCCCAATGTTTTCTTGGAGTAAATAATGTTCTATTTCATTATTTTTTAAATTTATATAAAAAAAAAATACTAGTTTCCTCTTTTCGATAAAAAAAAAACGCAATCCAAAACTTTGGAGCTATTTTTAACACACCAAAAAAGTGTAAAATGCCCCTGAGCTTCATGCAAAATACCCCCCAAAATTAAAATATCTGTTTCAAAATCAAGGGACCGCGGGATAAGCCAGATTGATTGGGGAATATCAGAAAATGGGGATTCTGATAACACAACGTGATAGAGGAAGTTGACTAAATTATAGAAACCAAATCTTGATAGATATATGAATTATCCACTTTTTTCTGTCCTACAAAACGAGTTTTCCTGTAGAAAAATTGCATTTTTTTTTCCGCAGCATTACAATACTTTTCCCACACTATGTAAGCAGTATGCAAAGAAGTAAAAACATTTCACCCATTTCACATATTCCGTTGCAACATACGTGTAACTTGCAAACAATTGGTTTCAGGTTTTTAAAATCTATCTTTTGTGTTCCTAAAAGGGTGCAATTTAGGTAAATTGATTGATGTATCCAAACACATCAAATGCTATGGTCATCAGTCCCATAAGTGTCCAGTAAGATCATGTACATTTTTTAAAATTGTAATAATTTTCCATTCAATATTGTGGGCATAATGTGCAATTTTAAAAAATTACAAAAAAACAGATTTTCTCAAAAACTGCACTAAATTTTTTCTTTAAACTGTTGGTAGGGATAGTGCTAAATGCACTCTATAAGATCACATTAACACCATATAGCTCTATTCTTTTGATGTTTTCCAAAATTACAAAAATGTATTTTTTTCACTTGTCTCTCACATTGTTAATATTTACATTATCAGCAATTTGTTCAGATTATAAGATTTATGAGTACACGTGCTTTAAATAACGTAAGCTAAAGTTTCTTGAAAGCTGTTTACTGTGAAAATAGCTCGAAATTCCCCATTTTCAGAAAAGTTCAAACAACGTTTTCTCAAAAACTGTTCCAATTTTTTTCTTCACACTTATCAAACGGATAGTGCTAGTTGCACTCTTTAATAAGGTGTAAAGTTCACTTTGAGTTTTTTTTTTTTTTTTAAAATGATCTCTCACAGTGTTAATATGCACATTTCCACGAATTTGTAAACACTATTGTATTTGTGAGTTAAAGTGCTTCAAATGACTTCGAATGAAGCTTTTCGAGAACTCAAAAGTTTTCTGTGAAAAAGAGCTTCAAATTTCGAATTTACAGTACCGCTTCATCGCCATTTTCTAAAAAACAGCACAAAATTTTTCAAAGGAAACGGCCATTTAGGGCGAGGTTTTATTGTTCTTTAATATCCTTAAAATGATATTTCTGTTTTATTAAGAAACCGAAAAATTAAGAAAATTTGAAACAAAGTACTCTGGGCGGCTATAGATGTCAGCTGACAAGATTATGTAGCAAGATCGTATGGCAAGCCGAGACCAAAGAAATATAAAACTAATACGGGAAAGTCTTTGCCACTATATAGCACCACTAGTTCCATTTGCTTCAGCGAAATATTTTGCTGCAATATCACATATCTTCTCTTACAATTCGTAAATTTTGAATGTTTCGAAAATTCAAAGAGTTCAATGAATAGCGAAGTTGCTCGCCTTTCACCAAGGAGTTCGATTCCTCGATAATCTCATATGAAAGTTGTTCCAACAAAACGTGCTTGCCTTCTTCACTTTGACTTTTTTCTTCGCTATACTCGCTCTGCTAAAAAAAAGAGAGAGAGAAATTGAGGCCGTTTTTGAGAAAATATTATTTTAATTGCCTTCACTTCAAGAAAACTACCCAGATTTTTTTTAAAAAAAGGTACAGAATCTTCTTTTAATATCTATGATTAAACAAATTTCAAAATCAACGGAAAAACAGTGTTTATCGTCAATTTTGTCGTTTTGATTTGTTAATCTTTTGCAATTTTGGCAAATACACAGAGATATCCGAAAATGGGACCTGCGTCATTTTTATAAGCGTAGTTTGCTCATTTAGAGAAAAAATGTAAAGAAAGAAATTGGGGATGGCTATGACAGAGCAGGGAGGGGCAGGAAACTGCATTGCGACCAGGTGAGGAGAGCAGGCGAGGCGGACCATTAAATAAAATGACTTCGAATTTACTTTAGAATAGTTGGATAGAATTCCTTGAATCGTCTAAGGTTTATGGAGCGTCAACGTTGTATTCATTGAAGTGACGGACGAGATCGAGATGGCCGAAACTAAGCAACATTTCGAGGGGTAGTTTCGCTGCGACCAACCTACTCTGACCCTTTCACCGAATTTCAATCTAGGGCGCAGCGAGGGGGCTACGCAGAATCATAAAAGAAGGAATGCACGTAGACTCGGGTTGTATTTACAACACTTCACGCTAGATAACGTCTATGCCGTGGACGACTGCAAATGACAGGGGCTCGTCAACGTTGCCTAGCAAGATCGTAAAAAATAAGAAAAATACACACACAAATCGAAGTAAAATATGACAATCATTGATACCAATGAATGAAAAAAATTCTATTAAAATGTAATTCATATACAAAAATAAACTACGGTAATCGTTGGTTAAGGATTACTTTTGCTACGATTTTTGAATGAGCTCCACTCCTCTTACATCTGAAAAGTCGTACTATATTTGGGGACAATATCGCCCTACGGGTACTTGTGTTGGTATCGATACGGAACAGACACTGAATCGCCTCGAAGCGTACGCGCGCGACCTGGGCCCCGACGCACGTGTGCGAGACGCGTCGACGGCTTATCTCGCGGACTGCGACCTTGGACGGCGCAACACAGCCGCAGGCAGGTAACAGCAGGCAGGCGGCCCGCGGGCGGGCGGCCCGCGGGCACAGAGCGCTCGAGATGAACGGAACACGTCTCCGGCAGACGGGAGCGGCTCGCGCCGGCGCGCGCGGGCCCCGACGCGACCCCCTCCGCACGCCACGCCACGCACGCACGGGTGCTGACAGCGTGTCTGGCTGCGACTTCGCTGTCAAGGTGTTCGTTTTGGATGGGCGGATTTGTCAAGGGCGCTTAAGATTGCCGGTTTAAATGCAAACATGTTCTGATTTCGATTTGCAATCGTTAACTATTAATTAGTTATTAAGAAACTAATTGGAAACTTCTGAAATCGTACTGTTAGTGTATTGTTTGTTTAAAAAAAAGTTCGTGTCATAAACAATCAGAACTCTTCTAACCGCCGTTCCTAACCGACTAGCCGACGACTAAACGATGTAGAACCGTTTCTAATGGACGATGGCATATCGTTGACGTACACAAAGAAAAAAAGAAAAGAAAAAAGAACAAGTTCCCTTGTTACAGGATCATGGATCTAGAAAACTGCAACTGTTTTTCCCCTTTTTTTCCCCGGGTACAGAAAGAATGCGGACATGTGATCCAACCCTACGGGACGCATGCTCAGTTGGCCAAGTTTTGGAAAAATGAGTAAATAATCTGATAGGGTGGTGATTTTACTCTTTGTCATCGATGTTTAAGATATGAGGATATCCAAATTAATTGATTATTTCGTGTTTCCAGGTACGTCAACTGCTATGGCCGCACGAGCGCTGAGATATTTAGGCCGATACTACAGTAAGAAACGCTGCAGATTCTTCCTCAGAGAGAGTTAGATCGTTTCTTGAGGATAGTGCGCGCGTTGTGAAAAACAAGATCAACGTTAATTTCCCGTAGAAATCAACTCAAACA